TAAATTAAGGATAAAGCTAGCTTGTATTGGCTTTCTATGTACACCTCTGCTCAACTTCTTGCCTGCTCTGATCACTAAACTATTCACAAAAGATAAAGTATTGTCCTTCCCTATCTCCATTGTCAAGTTAACATTGCTGTCAAACTGGTTGATTAAGTACAAGAAATTATCTAAACTATCATTACCATGCTAATATATAGCACAGTAGTGATCCATATATCTAACTAACAATTTTTCTGTCATTTCTTACCTCTTCCAAGAGGCGTTCTTCCAGTCTTGACATGTAATTATTAGCTACAATGGAAGACAAATAAAATCTTATTGTTAGGCCTTGCATTTGCCCATAAATCTTATCACAAAAAATATATGAAGACCAAAATGTTGTGGCCTCTGGTAGAATCTCAGTCTCCTTACGATTTATAGAAGTGGGTTGACCTCGTTGTCGCAACTTGCTCTTGTTGCCAGACCGGCTTAGTAGAACGCACCTAGTCCGAAGTCGTCTGCCATATTATTTTTCGTGATTTCCAGCATCAGAGAGTGGAATTTTCGCCGGCATCGAAGTCGGCATCATCAGTGTAAGCCTTTTCGGCAAAACGTTCGTCGAGGAATTGACTTCACTTGTCTTTGGTGCGGAAAATGGCAAAACTCACTGATGATACCGACTACGATGCCGGCGAAACGTGTGAGAATGTACTAAGTCCACTGTCTGATGCTGGGAATCATGACAACTTCTATGGCAGACGACTTCGAACCAGGTGCGTTCTACTAAGTCGACTTCACAATACCAAGTTGCGACAACGAGGTCAACCCACTTCTTATCACTAAATGTGATATATCAGCTACTCATGAATAGAGAAAACATCCTTGAGATTAAGTCTTTGCTCAAATTTGCTTGCTCAGTATTTTCTGGGTGTTCATCTGGGCTGAGTGCTAGTGATTCAATAAAGTTCTGAACTATACTGCATCGACAACATCGAGCACTCGACACCAAAAGATCCTCCTTTCTAATACTCTGCTGATCTGTCAATCGAATAAATCTATATGCATCCCTCATTGAATATTTCTCAAACTCAGCTACTTTAGAGTTGACATTACTGGATCGAACAAAATCATTTTATGCTTAATCAATGAGCTCAGTTATAGAGAATACATACAACATTTTAGGGATGAGTTGATGAGTTTCCTTGATTCATTAGCTAGAATATGCTTATAAAGCTGAAACCCTGCTTTGATGATGTTCGCCGTACGACGGACGAAAGCTTAACAAGTTTTCACTGGTACCGAAGAAGATTGCCTCGGAAACAGCATTAATAAGAATGTTCCAGTTGAGCAAATCTACAGCTGGTCAACAGTGCTCCGATCGAATCTCTTCACCAGACTTTTGCTCAAAATAGAAGTAAGCTCAACACATTTCTTTACAATAAATACTAATTTTGTATGACTTTACAGTAATCCCGCCATAAAATGAAGAGCAGCCTTGAAAACCTTTTAAATTCATGGCAAAAATCCACAATCCGGCTTTGATCTATCTTTGAAACGCCAGACAGAAGGGGAGTATCTTAGTAATAAAAGCGGCAGATGTAACCAAATATAAAATTAAATATTTCTACGACAAAACTTTGTAATTATTCCAAATGTAAAGGGCTGCTTATTTACAGAGCAATACATACCGTCATATAGGGCCCAAGGGACCTTTAGGGTTTGTGCAGTCTTCAACAGATTTAGGCAGATACGCAGTGAAACAATTACAAAATGAGTGTTATTTGCTCACATTATTAATTGATTTCCTTTAGTATGACTGAAACTCAATTCTTGTACATACTTCCCTCTTTAGAGTGAAACTTTAGGACTCGGAATCAAAAAACTTTCTATTGAGATCTTGAATGACTTTGAGTATTTCGAATTTATTGTTTGAAAAATGTCTGAGCGACAATTGAAATAAATTTTGATCAGGATGGACAAAATGCGAGTTTTACGGGCAAAATTAAAAATTTTTTTGTGAAATCACCATGCAGGTCTGTCAATGTGAAGCATCATGGTAAAAAATAATACAATGCAGAGAGTATGTGGATTGATCTTGGAGTACTTTTCATTTCGTTTGAAGAGGTGAGTGGAAGGGATTCATAAGTTGGTCTCACCGAAAGTCAAGAGGGAGTTACCTTGGACATTCAATTCTGGATTTGTGTGAATAAGTCCTCGGTTCATCTTTCCGCAACCCCGATGATTCCTGCTGACCTTTTATCCGTCAGGTGACGGACCTCGCCAGAGCAAGAAACCAAGCTTTACGATAATTTACTAAGCATGAAGGCAAGAAAGGTGGCCAGCTGCAATCCTGCATACTTTTAATAGCCTAACTTTGTCCACCTAATAAGACATATCTTGATTTGTTCAGATATCCTATGCTTTCCTAAATGCTTGTTGAAAAATGAAGTTGCTGTGGATGATAGATGAAGTGGCTGCAGAGGAAGCGTGAAACGGAGTCAATTGAAACCGAACAGCTACTTGCATCCCCAGATTACAATATTTTTGATCTGGCTATGTTACCTCGTGCTTTCATTCCAGTGCATGCAATGCTTGTGAGACTCGTGGGGTGTGAAAGCAAAAACCAGACTTGATTATGTGGATTTTTAGCTGGAATTGCTACTTAAAGTCACTTTTCACGGTGCTATGAGTGACGCGCGGTGTTCTTTAACTGGTTGGGAAGAAAATTTATGATAAATCAATCAAGAATATATCTTTTAAGATGCATAATATACGTGTGATTTCGTTTTAGAATTTTAACAGTATTCGGGCCAATAAAAAAAGTCATTCTTTTGTGGGAGAGACCGAAACACTAAAATGCCCAAATGAGTCCAGAGTCTTTTGAAAGCTTAGAAGTATGCATGCAAGTGAGCATTTTACTAACTTCTTCTGAAGTGGATATTTGAAGTAGGTGGGTCCGATGATCCATAATCCTTTTCGATATTGTACAATTTTTTTCCTAATAGAGGTTTGGATATAACGATTGGTTGCTACAACTACAATCGAGCTGCTCCTAAACAATTAAAGAGAAGACTCAACTTAGCCTCAGAGTTTCGATATTTACTTTATCCTATTCAGGGAGGGCTGCAACTCCAACCTCATCTGGGGTTTTATTCATCAGTCTCAAAAGAGAAACTATGAAACTGCAAATACAGAGACAAATATTTCCTAGCTTGGCCACATATGGCTTGTCTCCAGTGCGTCAGGGGCCAGGCATGGATTGGTTATTATCATCTTGTAACCCGATGATATTTTGGCCTCAGTGGTATGAATTTCAGAGGTGAAATAGAAGGCCTACTATAGCAGATCTGAATACAGGCCTATTCCTGGGCCTGATGCAGATCAGTTTTATGCCGATTTAGAATTGCTTATTACTGTTAATGGCCAATTTCTTTCTAGAATGAAGACTAGAAATAGAGCATCATTCAGTTCTTTTTATTTTATCTTTATGAGATGTAAAGTGTACCCTTTATTATATTCGATGTACAGAAATGCCTTCATTATTGCACTCAACACTCAAGAAGTGGGGTTGGGTGAGAGGATTAAAAATGACGAAGTGTCGATCGAAGCAAGGAGTGCTAGTAAAGATTATATTTACATTGTATTATGAGTAGAATTCAGCATAGATTGTGAATGAAGAAGAAGGATTATCTTCATTTGACGCCACCCATGTCTTCCAAAGAGGAGTTCCTTCTCTGAGTTGAGTCCGGGCGCTTAGACACATGGCTTACCCGAACCCAGGCTTGCAACATGGTGGGATGAAGTAGGTATATGATCATCTAAGGCACTAAGCGCCTAGGAATCCGCGTGCATAAAATGACATATATACATAAAACTTTTTCAACAGGCTAAAAGTATGACTACTTTGAGTCGATGTAATGCAGGCAGTTTTAAACACCGGCTATCTACACATTTTCACAACCTGAGGTGAACAAAAAGGCAAGTTCATACATCCGCTTCTTTGGCTCCAATCTGTATGCTTCTGCCCTGATGCCATGATATGGAGGCTGCTGCGGTCCGAGCGAAATCCCTTTGAAACTGACTGGGTTGCGCCACTGGAGGCACGAGCTTTGCAGATTTTGCAGCAGCTATGGAGACTCTGGAAAAAGCGGAATCACTCAGTTCAGCCAGGCAGCTGTCTTCATCTACAGAAAGTAACGCACATGAGATCTTCCGGAGCTGAGGATCTTGATCCGAGGAACGATCTGGCCCCATTTTGTCAACGACAGGTTCGGAGGCATTGTAAATAGGACACTTTGCAAGACGTCTGGATCGCGGGAACACATCACGAGGATTGGTTTTGGTACTTTCTGCTATTATTTGCCTATCGGGACTCAAGTGTGACCTGCAAGGTAACTTCATATCAAGGCATGTGTGAACCGGAGACGGTGAGCTAAGTGAGGCATCATGCTGATAAGGAGGTGCAACCACGACTGTGTCAAAGTTCTTTAGTTTGCCAGTTGTAAATAGCGAGCCATAGGGTATTGGAAGACAAGAGTTGTTATCCATCTTTGTGGAGAGACAGGCGTCATGCTGATCGAGACTGCAAAGGTCCAGCTGAAATGGACGGGATTCGTCTTCACAGCAGTCAAATACTGCAGAGTCGTTCATCGATGTTAATCGATTCTAGCACAAAAAGGAAGAGGATACTGGAGCATTAAAATGGGAGGATAAGATTGTATCAAGAAAGAAAATATTTCGGGGAAAAATGTACATAACTAGGCGTGACACCGTTTCCAAAGAACACACTGGGAAATATCAAAGTGATACATTTCATAAGCAGTCGTGTGAATGAATCTTGAGAGCTTCTTAGCATCACTTTATATTATTTGGGCTTGAAAACTACAAAGGGCTCATCTACATGAAAGTGAATGACATTTTAGTTTATCCAAAAGCTCTATTATTTCAGAGTATTTTTCTGCACTAGACTTGTCATTAAATATGTCAAATACTGTTTTTCATCTATAAAAAAGGTTTCCGAGACTTCCAGTAGATCGTTTATATGAAGCATATTCACAATAGTTCATTTTAGGTGATAATAGGACTGGTAGTTGAATTTTCCCACAGTGATATGAATATAGAAGTGGGTTGACCTCGTTGTCGCAACTTGGTCTTGTGTTCAGGGCGACTATGTAGAACGCACCGA